TTTGTCTGTTGTTGTGACTTCGATCGGATCGGATCTCATTTTATGACCAATTTGAGCAAAAAATCCAGGTAATTCCAAAGGGTTCACATACTTTTGCATTTTTAAATTTACTGTGTGCTGTATTATATTTCTCAGATGACAGTAATTGACAAGTTAAAAATAAAAACGAATTTTGAGCCATTCAGGGTTTCTTTATATAGAGTATGTATCTCGTGGTTGTTAGCATTAGAAAGCAAACCTGTGCATTAAGTTTACATCTTTTCTTTCATTTTCTCTAATCATTGCTTTCTTCAGACTTTGTCTTGTGAAATACTGTATAGTTATAGTTGCTGGGCGGCCTTGACCCGACTTCACTGAATGACTGGAAAAATCACACTCCTATTTTAACTTGCATGAAACCGTACCTGTTCCTCTTGACCTGAAACTAACGGCCTCACAAATGGGAAGAAAAACTACCTTTGTGGTCTGTGTGCAAGTACAGCCACAGAGGAGCTCTATACAAGCCTAATAGCTGATACTGCAGCAGATGGGGATAAAGGTTTTATGTTTTTCTTCAGTGGTCCAAAGTTTGATCTCTGCATTTACTTCCTTCACGCTTAAACCACATCACTTTCACAATGGCTTCAAAAGTTTGACCAAAATCACAGGCAGATGTGTTTGCCTTTTATTTGGGTGTGTGTGAACCATAAATCTTTTTACCCCAAAACATCTGGTCAGTGCCCCTGATTCTGTGCTGGGGGGAATTTTGTTTCACATTACTTCACACACTTGACTCATTAAAAATTAAATCCCAATGGTGAAAACTTTACCAGCTCTGTATACAGTGTGCTGTTGTGGTACACACTGTACAGTGTACTACGTGGGTTCATGTGTGTCACACAGTTGCAACATTACTGACATTTATGTATGCAGGATAAAACATGTGACTCAAACACACACACCCATTTCACATCACACTTTACAGTTACATTTAGAGCACGCTAAATCATACTAAAGGGAAAAGCATACTGAAAAAAAACTGTTCCAGCATTTTGTACAATATATCTGAATAATATTTTGAAAATAAATAACGTTATCAGTTTTTTACTACTCTTCTATTCTATACCATGTCTTCTTTGCAGTTTCATCTTTGAGCTATTTTTGATCTGCAAAAAAATGGGCGAGATGTATATATTTTTGCCCTGTTGTGAGAAGTTACTCCAAGTGGCATCGCAATAGCCCTTCAGTGAAAGTTTTGGAATGGACAGTTTAGTCAACCAATGTCCCAATCATCACTAAAAAAGGTTTCAGAGAAATGAAACAGGAACATATCAAACACAACACTTTCGCCAAAAGAAAGTGATGTTGTTGGTTTCGTATTGACTCAGTGACTATTTGACTGGGCCAATAGTGATTCATTATCCAGCTGTGTCAATCTTTATACTTAACTTTTCCAACAATAATGTTATAATACTAACATTGTATTTCTTGTGAAAATATCACCATCTGATTTTGATATGGTTACTTTTACTACCCTTCACACATGGATCATCTTTTAGGGTTAAGGGTTTCGGTTACAGTGGCATTAACGGTAAACACACTTACTGTAAAACATGTTTGAGATTCTCATGTTCATTTTATAACGATTTTGTTATTCCGATTTTGTGCTACATATTCCAAATACAGTTTGTATCAAAAACAATGTTGATTTGATCAATTTATTTTGTGTCAAAATACATTATGTCTCTGAGGCAAGAAAAATAATTGGGTATATCGCAAGAAAACCATTGCTATGTTTTGCTGACATCTGCTGGTTAGCGTAGATGCAGCTAAACCAAATGAAAAAGCTCCTGCTATGGCACAGAGCAGTGGCTCCACACCCTAAAGGGTTGACAAAACAAGTTAGGAAAGAAGAACAAAAAAAGTTCTGCTCCATAAAATAATGTTTATTTTTAAATCCATGTATTGGTGTTTTCTTCTCGTAAAATACATGATAGGTTAACCTCTAGATTGTCATACATCATTCTTGGTATTGTACATACAGTACAATGGGTGGTCAGAGTAGTTTAAATGCACTTGAGAAATTGCAGACGTGGCCATGCTTTATACTAATCTGAAGCTGTCATATGATGTCTGACATAAAAAGGAAAGTCCTGGCAAAAAAAGAAAAATCTGCTCCTACACCTGGCAAGGTTTTATTATACAGAAACAAGAATAACTTTTTTTCTCCACATTGAAATCTGACACAAAAGTAGCTAGACATTTCATTCTGCATTCACAACTCAACATGCAAATTATGATGATGAACACCTAGTTAGATTCCCATACTTTTTAAAACCTTATCCCTGAGAACATGTGGTAAAATTACAGATCCGGAGTCCACATCTCCAGTATGTTTAGGTTCAGACTCCTGCCCAGAATGTGATGACAGTCCTGTTTAACCAGTCAACTCTGGCTGATCCTTCTTGCTGACCTCCCGTCAAATAAATAATGCTAATTTTGGTTAGCAAAAACAGGCTTTTGCAAGCGTTTTAGGCAAGTATACAAAAATGCTGTACCGTAAGAATGCTTTCAATTTTATTTATCAATTAACAAGTGACTGGACAAAAGAAAAAAAAAATCAATGTTCACAAAAAAATCTAAATCAAATGAATATTTGGTATGGCCACCCTATGCCTTCGAAACAGCATCAATTCTTTTGGGTACATTTGCACAAAGTCAGGGATTTTGAAGGCATATCGTCAGGTGTATGATTCAACAATTTTACCAAACCAACAATCATTAACTGAAACAGAAACAGCTGTGCAGGAGGAATACAACTAGGTGAGGAACAGCAAAACTCAGCTCACAAGGTGAGGTCCACCACAGAAATAGTGTGTACAGCAACAACACACAAGGTAGTTATACTGCCTGCATAGCAACAAGACACAAGGTAGTTATACTGCCTCAGCAAGGTCTCTCCCAGGCAGACATTTCAAGGCAGAGAGGGGCTTCCAGATGTGCTGTCCAAGCCCTTTTAAAGAAGCACTAAGAAATGTGCAACATAAGGACTGTAGACACAGTGGTCGGCCAGGGAAACTTACTGCACCAAAGTAAAGACACATCATGCTCACTTCCCTTCGCAATCAGAAGGTGTCTAACAGTGCCATCAGTTCAGAACAGGCAGAAAACAGTGGGGCCCTGGTACGCCCATCTACTGTCCAGAGAAGTCTGGTCAGAAGTCGCTGTTGTGGAAGACTTGTGGCCAAAAAGCCATACCGCTGAGATGGAAACGAGGCAAAGCAACTTGACCATTCACAAAACGGACAGTGACTGAGGTGCAGAAAATTGGCAGCAGGTACTCTGGACTGATGAGTCTAAATTTGTTTGCCTAAGGACTGGAAAGAGGTACAAGGGATGAGTGTGTGCAGGCAACAGTGAAGCATGGTGGAGGTTCATTGCAAGTGTGGGGCTGCAAATGGAGATTTGGTCAGAATGAATGGTCTGAGTTTAGGCAGATACCCATTCCTCATGCAATCCCATCTGAGAGGCATCCGATTGGCCCCAAATTTATTCTGCAGCATGACATCAACCCTAAACATACAGCAAAATTCATTGAGAACTATCTTCATCATAAAGATAGACATGGAAGTGATGCCATGATCCCCACAGAGCCCTGATCTCAACATCACTGAATCTGTCTGGGATGAAGAAAGAGAAGCAACTGAGGCTGCCTAAATCCACAGAACTGCGGGTACCTCTCAAAGATGTCTGGGACAACCTACGTGCCAAGTTCCTTCAAAAACTATGTAAACAATTAAATCTCAGGATATGAAATACACTAGCCATGATAATTGCTCCCCATCAAAAGTAAATAAAAACTTTATTGGTACAATTAATCAGAATGAATTGATTGAATTTTGAATTTTCTTGAATCGTTTTCAGATGTGTATGTTTATCTGAGACTCTTCAGACTACTTGACTCAAAACATTCTGATGCCAGGAAAACAGTTGTTGGATAAGAAGCAGCAAAGACATGGAAAGAAAATCAGATTCTTTGGGACACCAATGTAAACAGAATTATCAGAAGGGCTGATAAGCAGAATATGGTGGTCTACCTGGCAATGACAGCCACTTACAACAAAGTGAGGTCCCAAATTATCAACACTTCTCACATGCAGAGAACCGTTATTTCTCTTGGATCTTAGTTACATCTCTATAACTTATCTATTCTCATATGCAGTATTTATGTACCGGGCTAGTACTCCAGTTTCTAGTGTCAAACTGGCACAATGATTGATTGAGAAACAGACCCTTAGTGACTGAATGACGAGTGAAGTCATCATAGTCAATCCCTTCAGTCAGTCCCTTTTCTTTGTTCTTTTCCCTCAGCTACCATCAGCCAAGTTGTTGTTCAACTAAGAAATATGGAACATAAAAGACAGTGGACAAAGTATCCCTGATGACATAAAGAGGATGATGTTAACATCAGTCTGGAAACAGTCCTGAGTCCATGGACAGTAATTGATTACTCTGCACTAGCACACAGTTAATACTCATGATGTATTCATTTGTCAGCAAATAAGTAACAACTGTTGAGTCCAATTATTTGTATATCTGCTATATTTTTTTTTTTTTTACAACTAGGAGGTACCGTTGTAGAATCAAAATGGCTACTACTGTCTGCACAATATATTGACTCTACTGAACACTGTGCTTTGTTCTACTGTTAGCCTGTTGAAGAAAATGGCATTTATAAGACCTCCGTGTTCTTTTCTTAAGCATACACTACAAACTGTTCAACTTCAGCAGAAATTGATGGGGCAATTGTGCAAACAACCCTAAACATATTATCAATATTCAGTTAAACCAAAGCTCTCACCTTCTCTCTAACCTTGCAGAATCATCACGACTTGCAAATCCAACAGGATCAAAAAGCATGACGACAAATCACCAAGTCAAATAAAATCAGTAGATGTTTGTAGGAGGTATTCTTTGAAGATAACATTTTAACAAGTGAGTGAAAAGAAGACAAAACCAAGTTATTTCATCACAGGGTTGCGCCAAATTTATTATGTTCTTACGACAGTAATAGTAGCAAATATGAACATCCTAACCTAACACACAGTATTCTCTATGCTGCCACAAAGCCCGCACAGCATGTGGTTCAGAATTGATACACTGAAAAACATCTATGTGGCTGTAGACCCTTGAATCAGCAACACTTCATAAATTAGCATATAAACATAAGAAAGTTTACAAAAAGCATGTTTTCTAAGTGCCATGGCCAGCCTAATCAATCAAAACAAATGCTGCATTCATAGTAAAACAATAATTAAGGACATTAGTGCACATAAGTTCTGTACCTGAAAAGAAGCATTCGTGCTCAACATGATATGCGCCAACCAATTATTTTTTTAATCTATATTATGGCAACCTCTATAAGTTAGTTATATATTTCTGCACTATAGCATAGTTCTTAAACATATTTTATGCAATATGTACAAACATTTAAATAAAACCCCAGACAAGATCAATCCAGACTTATTTCACATAAAATATTCACTAAACCTTTTTCCAGCAGTTCACCTTGCTCCACCCTTTATACAAACTGTTTGCTAATGATCTAAAGATAATCTGAGATTAAGACACAGGTTAAGCCACTAATACATAAAGATGGCATACTGTAGATACAGTACATACTGTTGATCAGTGAATAGCTAGACCTTAACAGTGCATAGTGCTGTTTGCAGAGGAAGAGTGGTAATGTGTGAATAAGACTATACAGCAGAGTAACATCCAACTCAATCTAACAGGTTAAATCCCCCATATGCAAAGGGTGTATTTTAGCACTAATGTGCGAGGTAAAATATAAAAACAACCCAAAACAATGAACTTAAATCCAAAGTAGAACTTCTTGCCTGACAGATGGAAGGGGTAAAATAAGATCCTGTAAAAAGGATGTCAGCATGATAAATGTATACTTGTATGCAAGTAAAATGTTCCCTTTGAATAGCCTCTCATCCGTCTTTTACCTCTTCTTAACAGATCCATCAAATCCATCGCTTAATCAGCCACGTCCTCGTTCGCTCCCCTTCCCCCACTCCCCTTTGGATCTCTCCCCTTTCTCTCCAGCTCCTGGCACTGAAAACTTTTTCATGACTTCTCTTTCAAACCCCTCCATTTCTTCCTCTATGGCACTATCCCCCTCCTCTTCCCCTCCCTCTTCCACCATGTCTTCCAAGATATCTACCAAATCCTCAACGAACTCTTGAAAGCGCATCTGGTCATGAACAAACACTCCTGTCTTGAAGAATTCGGCAGCTAATTTTTTGAGCTCTTCTCTTTTGAATTCATCCACTCCCACTTCCTCTGCCTTGGCCAGGTATGTTTGGAGGACGGCCTCGAACTCAGGGAAGGGGACAGGGAGCAGGCCCTCGGCCTGAGCACAGGTCTCCAGTGAGTCGCACTTCTGTGGGGGTTTGAGGTTGTGCTGGAGGCGGTCTCTCTGCTGGACCCAGTACTCGGGCTGCTCCAGGGAGGGTCGTCGGTGTGTGTGAGGAGGTTTTCTGTCTCCCCACAGATGCTCTTCCTTGTGGCCATGATTACTGGTAAATTTGTGCTCTTCTTTGTGTTTCTGGGAGCTTGATCTGTCCTTTTCCCAGTTTCCATTGTGCTTGTTTTCTTTCTGTCCTCTCTTCCAATGCTCTTCTTTCTCTTCCCACTGTTTGCTCTCATCCTTCCTCTTCCATTCCTTATCATCTTTACTTTTCCACTTGTTCTCGTTCCAGTGTTTCCCCTCATCCTTTCCCTTCCTTTCTTTACCATGATGTTTGCTCTCCTCCCACTGTTTCCTTTCACCCTTTCCTTTCCCTTCTTTACTATGATCTTTGCCGTTTTTACTCTTCCAGTCATTGTCTTTCTTCCACTCTCTCTTTTCTTTCCAATCTTTTTTCTCCCATTTCTCTTTGCCACTTTCCTTGAAGCCATCTTTCCCTTTCTTCCATTCCTTCTCTCCCTTCCATTCCTCCTTGCCCTTCTTTCCCTGGTTATTTTCTACCTTCCATTCCTTCTCCTCCTTTCCACTCCATTGTTGATCCTCCTTCACTTGCTCATGCTTTGCCTTTTTCCAGTATTTCTCCTCCTTCAATTCTTTTCTCTTACCATTTTCTATCCACTCTTTCTTTGCTTCCCTATCCTTCCATGGCTTTCCTTCATCACCTCTGCTAGTCTTTTCTTTCTTCCAGTCTTTTTCCTTCCGTTGTCTTGGCTCATCACTGTGCCTCTTTAGCTTACCTTCCTTATCCTTCTCCTTGTCAAACTTTCCCTTTTTCCATTCGGCTTTACCTCCATCTTTGCGCTCCTGTTTCTCTCTTTCCATCCATTCAGATTTTTCTCTCTCTTTCCCCTCCTTCTTCTCACCCATGTCATTTTTATCTTTCTTTTTCTCCCTCTGTTCATCCCATGGCTTCCTAGCCTGTCTGTCTGTAGATCCAGTGGTGTCCTGCGTGCTGTCCTCTGGCTGGCCACTGGAGGGCGATGTAGTAGGCTTCACAGGTGCTTGAACTGCTTTGCTGGTTACTGGAGGAAACACAAGACGTCACTACCACTACAAAGATGAATAAAGAGCATTCAAGTGAAAAGAAGAAAAAGGAAGAAACATACTGCACTTCCCCTAGCTGTCTAATAACTATCATTCAACATTTTCTACCCTCTTCCACGTCCCCTCCCTACCTCCTCCCTCTGTCCCTTTGTACCTGAGGAGAGTTTTAAATCAGTCACAGTAGATCTCAGTGTTTCTAGTTCTTTCTGTAGGGCCGGGACAGACTCCAGCTCTCTCTTCATCCTCTCGTTCTCTTTCTGAAGGACAGGGAGAGATGCCATCTCTTTCTTCAACCTACTGTTTTCCTTCTCCACCTCCTCCCACCGCAGCCGCTCCTTTGCTCCCTCTGCTGCCTGTCCCTTGGCTACATTTAGCTCTTCTTTCTGTGCCTGTTTGAAAAAAAACAGGAGAAGAGGGTCCTGTGAGAATATCACATACCGGGTACACTTTCATGCACCGACACACACTCATGTATAGCACGCACACACACAATGAGGTGAGAGACAGAATGGAGTCACACCTGAAGTTGGGCTTGTAGCTTATTTAGAAGCTCTGTACTGTCAGCATCTACTGGCGGTGGAGGAACCTCTGGATTAAGCCACTCCTGTCCGCAAGTTAGAGAGAGAGAACAGTTTGTGTTGATGGGAAAGAAAATTCCAGAGTAGAACAGTTGGTAGACCAGGGCAGTAATGCTGCCAGTGTTGTGGGTGGTCTCCTAATGAGCATATCACACAACAAATCCATGTGGTGGTACTCCCGTTACGATAAAATCAGTACACAAAATGGCATCAAAATGAATATAAGTTAGAGAAGAGATAAAGACAAAATAGAAGGAGAAAAATAAATAAATAAAAGTGAAACAGACTGACCTGTTTCCCTGGTAACTCTGCGTCTTTCAGCTCCCTTGTCACATAATCACTCTCTGTAAATGTATTATGCAAAGTTTAATGTTCTTACACTGGAAAAGAACTCAAGCAAAAGCTTTACGCTCCAGTGCAAATTACTGAAAAAAATGGCACCTACCCCAACAACAAACAAGGCTTACAATAAAATGTGTACTCCTCAGCTGAGTAAGGGCACATAACTGTAGATACGGTATAATATAATTAAAATCAAAATGAAAGGTTAAGGACAGTATATTTATTGCTGGTTGAAAACCTTGTATCTCCACATTGTCACAAGAAAAGAGAGGGTGGGCAAACTAAACATTTACACTGTGGTGACATGGTACAAGGTTATCATTTAATTTATTATTGATTTATTGCAAAAAATGCATAAATCACTCACTCTCTCTATTGCATGCTTAAAAGCGTGCAGTACTTTAAAAATGTGTCAAATGCAAAACATTTTTCCTTCATGCACATTAACACATACAAACATGCTGTGGACAAAAAAGAACTCATTCAGTCACACACACACACACACACAGTCACACACACACACCCCCTACCCTCATTCAGGTCCATGAAGACACCTGCAGGTATAATACATCTCAGTCTCAGAGCACCCTTTGTTTAGTTTACTGCTAGGAACACATCACTTTGCTCTTAGCTAACCTCACTTTAACATCTTAAAATTCATCACAAGTAACATTAAAGTCATTTAAAGTCAAAGTAATAAGCAAAACAAAATCACACATTTACCTTCTCAGCGGGTCATATAGTGATGCATACCTGAGAAAAAGATGGTGCCAAGGCCTACCAGAATGACAGCACCCAGGATGCACTTGTTCACAGAGAACCCGCTGTCTTCGTCGCGCTGTGGCAGCTGGAACTCTTCCTCTCCTTCCTCTTCCTCCTCTGTCCTTCCGATCCGCTCCAGAGCTGCTAAGAGAGACCTCCTTCTCCTCACCTCTGGCTCTCCTTCCTCTCCCATCTTCTCAGTCCTCTCGTCACTCTCTTCTGTAGCCACAGGGGAGTCTGGAGTAGAGGATGAGAAGAGTATTTAAAAAACAAACAAACAAACCAACCTGTTGTTAAAGTGTATTTTGATCATTACTTTGCAATTTACAGGTTTAATCTATTTTATGGACCCCTACAGGCAAACATGAAGAACAGATCATTTAATGTGTGGGTATCCTGTAGGCCATTTTATTTCCTGCCATGTTTATTATTTTTAAACAAAGCAGTTGCGCATTATTGAGCTCAAATTTGCTCTTGCACTTACATGTTAGACAGCACAGCAGCTATGGCACTGTAATCAGTCGGATGCTGCAGTACGAGACAGAACCCCTTATGGGAGGTAAGACTTCTATAGTTGCTCTGCTGTGCATGGCACATGAGTTCATTTTGTCCATTTCTCCATAAATAAGCCTTTAATCTTGAATATGGTGTCTAGACAGTAATTCAAATGCTTCATTTTTAAACTTCTATTCGCATCACATTTTACTGTTAAAGAGCAATATGAATAATGGGCACTACAATGAACTCACTGACACTGGACACCAGTTTGCAAACAAAACCTGTATTTGAAAAAAAAAAAAAAAAATGCACAACAGAGCAGAAGAAGACTCATTTTTAGAAAAAAAGCTGCAGACCGAAAAGAAAAAAATAAATAAATAAAAAATAAAAAAAACGCACCACAATGCAAAAAAACAAACACACTTTAGGAGGTCCCAGTCCCTTTGAAGCCAATTTACTTCTGCAGGGTGTCATGCAACTACGGATTTCTCTGTCACATCATGCTCCCTGCCTCATACCAACCACAGCCTGTCCAGACAACCTCCTGGCCCAGATACTGAACAATTCCATTACCAGTTGGTCCACCAAGTACACTTCAAACACAAATAGTACATACGACTTAGTCTCCAAAAAAATAAAAAGGAAATGATACATGCGTACCAGGTGATACATCTTTGCATTGAATAAAACATACACGATTAAAACTGATGCTGAGGTTATTATAATATCAATGTAATAATAGCCTCATTAAAGTCTTGTTGTTCATACCTGCCTGTTTCCCTACATCAATCGTCCTCAGAGACAGATCTGACTCCTCCCCTTCCTGTTGTAGCCCATCCCCGTTTAACGGATGCCGCATTCCTTCCTCTGCGAGCCTCTCTTCCTCCTGTGTAAACTCCACCCCTCCCAGAGTCTCTGTGCTCAGCAGTGAGGCTGGGGGCTCATCAGGGGAGGGGGTTATGTGGGCGTAGGAGTCAGGTAGTTGCTCTGACCTGCTGAATGCATCCTTGCCAGGGACAAAGCTGTCAGATACTTCCAAAAAGGTGTGAACAGGGGTGGCATCAGATAAGGCGGTGTGTTGCTCTGTGCTTCTGTCTCCATTTAGCTCTGCAGTTTTTTCTTCTAATACCTGGGTATAAAAATCAGGTAAATAAAGTTCACTGTCAAAGGTTTTAGCTCCCTTTTAGCATTTTTGGTTTAAACTCACTCAAAGTACAAAGTGGTGAAACAGGGGGAACAAAGGGAAGGGATCTAGCCTAGCTCTGTCCAGAATGCAAATTTGCATAGAAGCACCTCTTCCAACTCGCTAATTAACACATTGTATGTCACTTTATATCTTGTTTAATCTGCACAAAACCAACATGTAAAAACCTGAGTTTTTGTAAAACGTTAATTCACCCTTCAGGGGGTTATGTGCTAGAGCCTGACCGATTTATCATTTTGCAGATATTATCGGCCGATTTAAGCTACTTGCAGATACCTGCATCAGCGTTTATAAACAACTGATATATGACTATTAAAAAAGAGAAACAGAGTTGGATCCTTCCCTCAGGTCATGAGTGTTGCATAGTTTGCAGCACCACAGAACAAAACATACACAGCTGACTGCAGTATACCGGAGCTCAGATCCAGCTCTGCAAAGTTTTCTACAGACAGTCGAAGCGACTCCAAGGAAGGGGGTTGAAAGGTTCTCTCCCCAAGTGCTGTCTCTGAGCAGCCTGATCGTAAAACTGGCCACCTTTTGATGCCGCAGCCAGATAACGCGGTGATTGACTGTTAAACTGACAATGGAACACTGACCAGCGATTAGCGTTTTCCTGAACAGCCTATCAAAACTCTTCTTAAAGAGAGGGCAGGAAACCCTAAACTGCCCCCTTCACATGTAACCATGGCAACTGACCTTCCTCTGCGTTCAATTACCTCACATCAAAGGAGATACTCCCTTTCACAGCCAGATGCAAATTGGAGAAACTCCAGGACACTAAGGACAGCCCTGAACTTCATTGTGTAAACAAAGACTGCTGTCTCCCAAGACTCAAAGCATTACCTTGTTTAATTAAATAATCTTTTAGTTACTTGATTACGTTTGCCTCCATTTGAGTAGTTATGTTACCATGTTGTTGCTATCTGTTGTTGATATTGTTGCTGAAAAGAATATAAATAAGTTAATTTTGCAGAGTTTTAATTTTCAGCAAGGTTAATGACATTCCTTCATTTTATGTGTAACCAATGCTTGTTCACAATACTTTCTGACACCACCTTTAGAAATGAGGATAAAGAAATCATCCTATACTCGATTAATCTGCCAGCTTGAATTTAAGGTTAAATAACTAATTCCCCAGCTCGTAAGCAAAGATTGTCTTAGGGTTAATCCAAGCTATCGTCATGTAGCCTGAGCTCCCCCAAGTGGACAAAATAAGTATTACATGCTATCGTCTGAAATGCCGTTAACGTATAAATGTCACTCCGTATTTATCTTGTGTAGTGAACAACGGTGTGGATTTGTGCATTTTATATTGAATAAATTTGGAGCTACTCTAAATTCCTTTCTCCTCCCCAGAGAAGAAGGGGGAGGGGTCAAAGTTGCTTTCTCTAAGTGCTAGCCCCACCATAAAACTGGCACCTTTTTGATTCCGAAGCTGATAACGCGGGGCCTGACTGTTAAACTGACAAAGGGACACGAACCAGCCATTGGCATTTCCCCACACACGTTTCCGTGGCAACTGACCTTATTCTTTGTTTTATTACCACATCAAAAAGGAAAACCCCTGTCTCACCCAAGTGTGACATGGTCCAGACACTGAACTTTGAATGGCTAAGGACTGCAGTCTCCAAAGACTCAAAGCATTTAATTAAGTTTAATTAAATCTTTAGTTACCTGATTACGTTTGCCTCTATTTGAGTAGTTATGTTAACTGTTGTTGCTATCTGTTGTTGATATTAGTGCTGAAAAGAAAGTTACTTGTGCAGTGTTTTTATTTTCAGCAAGACACTCCTTCATCTAATGTAATCCAAGCTTTCCTCATGTAACCTGAGCTCCCCCAAGTGGACGAAATAAGTATTAAATGCCCTCGTCGGAAATGCCGTTAAATGTATAAATATCCTGACCAATAATGTGACAATTGTTTCCTGTTACCAAATGCCTAGAATAGTACAACCGTTTGACCATTGAGGTTCGATTGTGGAAAATATTTGATTATAAGACGTGCAAATAGATTTCTTTTTAGACATTAAGATTAGAAAGGCAGTCCCTTGGGAAACCTGAGACACCCCCTGGGGAACCACGCCCCAGGCAACAAAAGAGCGACACGCGATCTCTTCGCTTCTTGCTCTCTCCGCTGCTCTGCTCGGCTCTCTGGACGCTGTGCCGCGCCAGGCAACGCCCAGACTCGGCCAGCGAAACAGGCCCTTTTGTTTCGCTTGAAGCTACACACCTGAAGTGCAGAGACATCGATCTGCCCCTCAGTTTGTTTTATTTTCTTTATTTCTTTTGTTTGTTAAAGTTATCAGTCCGTTAAGTTACACTGGACTAATTCAGGAACGATCAAGTTCCATTTTAAGCCTTTTTCGTCGAGCCAACTTCACCGAGGTCAGACCAAGCCACGTGGTCTGGCCAGCTACAACGAAGGAAACCTGAAAACAGCTGAATTGCCAGACGGAGGAGGCGTTTTCAATCAGACACGGAGAACCCCAGAGAATCCCTAGCAAAAAGCCAGGATCGGGCAGCTAGCGTGGGACCCGTGCAACAGGCCAAAAGCAGGCTGTCGACAAGCAGTAAGACTTAACACACGTTCTGTGATCAGATGTCCATTTTAACTCCTAAAATCATAGCATTAGTTTACTTTCATTAGCTCTTCTATGCGGTATGAGTCAAATGCTTCCCACAGTCGAACCTCCAGGCTCATTGTTCAGCAAATGTTTATGTTCCCTGTATCCAACCATCTTTTTATCACCTTAGTTAGAGAATAAATTCACTGTAATATAATCAAGAGCTGTGTGTGTTGCCTATTTCTAGTTCCTGCCAAGAGAATTGACCCTTTAGATATGAGACTGACTGACTGATTTAAGATAATTGAGCGATTATTAACGGCGTGCCCCCCTCTCCCGGCAACGCCCTAGGAGTTCGGCCCGGCGCAATCAAAGCTTTTGTTCGCTTCAAGCTACACACGCGAAGTGCCGCGACATAAGCTTTCCCTCGTTTCCAGCAATTTACTTGCTTGTTATTTTATTTTGTTTGTTAAAAGTTAGTAGACTGTTAAGTTACACTAGTCTAAGTCAAGAACGACCAAGTTCCCTTTTTAAGCTTTATTCGTCGAGCTAACTTCACCGAGGTCAGACCATACCACGTGGTCTCGCCAGCGGCAACAAAGGACACCTGAAGAACAGCCTAATTGCCAGACTGAGGACGGCCAACCCTTGAGGGTTTGTTTTCATTCCAGACACGGAGAACCCCGGAGAATTCCCTAGCAAAAAGCCAGGAATCGGGCAGCTAGCGTGGGACCCGTGCAACAGGCCAAAAGCAGGCTGTCGACAAGCAGTAAGACTTAACACACGTTCTGTGATCAGATGTCCATTTTAACTCCTAAAATCATAGCATTAGTTTACTTTCATTAGCTCTTCTATGCGGTATGAGTCAAATGCTTCCCACAGTCGAACCTCCAGGCTCATTGTTCAGCAAATGTTTATGTTCCCTGTATCCAACCATCTTTTTATCACCTTAGTTAGAGAATAAATTCACTGTAATATAATCAAGAGCTGTGTGTGTTGCCTATTTCTAGTTCCTGCCAAGAGAATTGACCCTTTAGATATGAGACTGACTGACTGATTTAAGATAATTGAGCGATTATTAACGGCGTGCCCCCCTCTCCCGGCAACGCCCTAGGAGTTCGGCCCGGCGCAATCAAAGCTTTTGTTCGCTTCAAGCTACACACGCGAAGTGCCGCGACATAAGCTTTCCCTCGTTTCCAGCAATTTACTTGCTTGTTATTTTATTTTGTTTGTTAAAAGTTAGTAGACTGTTAAGTTACACTAGTCTAAGTCAAGAACGACCAAGTTCCCTTTTTAAGCTTTATTCGTCGAGCTAACTTCACCGAGGTCAGACCATACCACGTGGTCTCGCCAGCGGCAACAAAGGACACCTGAAGAACAGCCTAATTGCCAGACTGAGGACGGCCAACCCTTGAGGGTTTGTTTTCATTCCAGACACGGAGAACCCCGGAGAATTCCCTAGCAAAAAGCCAGGAATCGGGCAGCTAGCGTGGGACCCATGCAACCGGACAAGCAGGCCGCCGACCCGAAGTAAGGCAAAACAAGGCATTCTTTGATCAGTGATGTCCAATAGTTGGTTAGTCCAGCATATTTAATCCTTGAAACTCCAAGACAAATTTAACCGAGTTATCATCTAATTGCATTCATTAGCTGCCGTATAAGTCAAATTCTCCCACAGTAGACCACCATGCTCATTGTTTATTTCTCTGATGTATTTAACCGCAATTTTACATCACCTTAGTTAGTTAATAAATTCATTGTAATCAAGGAATTGTGTGTATTGCCTGTTTCCGAGTCCCTGCCAAGAGAATTTACCCCTTGATATGAGACTGACTGACTTAAGATAATTGAGCGAGATTGTTAACTAACTGATCACTAGTGAATAATTGTCTAATTATTAGCCATACTCAGGGAGTCCCGAGACCCTGGGTGAACGGTATATCGGGTGGTGCCCCGCGAGAGCTTTATGAATTAATATTTTCTGAATATTAAAATTCATAATTTGGTATCAATTCTCATAAATTTATTACATCAATGTAGTTATGCTACACTGGTCTTGCTGTGTTGTTCTCTCTTTGTTTTTAGATTGTACTTGTATTGTTTCAGACCCCATTCACACTACTCCGTTTTAGCAGAATTAATTAATTAGCAGGTGCTTCCAGGTAAGTGTTTGTCTCTCTGTTCATAGTGTCAGCTCTTTCCCCTGTTCGAGCGTTCGTTGGGTTTATAATGGTTAATTTCCTCCTCAAGAATAGAGAAAATATCTGGGTTGTAGTAGGGGGATTCTGATGGAGGTATATAGATGGCACACATGTAGACATGTTGCTCAGCACAAATCATCTTTTTGTTAATTTTCAACCATATATAGGCTTCTTTTTTAATAACTGATGAACTGGCTCAGTTCTGATTTACACCATATAATCATGCCTCCTGAATCTCTGCCTTGGGTTATTAGTTATTATTAGTAGCCGTGAGCACGACCAGTGAAAACATCTTCTCTGCACCATGTCTCCTGTAAAATCTTTTAACTCTATTGAAATCTGAATTTCTGCTCTTTAAACCAGAAGCTGATGATCTCAGACCTTGAATGTTCCAACACGTTACTATAAACGATTTCATCTCCAAGTGTAATCTGTTGAAAAATTTGACAAACACCCACAAAGTGTTGTAAGTAAATGAATAAAATATTAAACTTTGAGTGACATTTTAGAGTGTATCATGTGTGAAATACTGTTAGTTGTCCTTGTATTACTATTCATTTAAAATGATAAACAACATGCTAAACTATTACTATGCTCTCTCTCATACACATATATAAATATTTGCCTATGTAGGAGAGCCCGGCTTATAATTATAGCCATGACATTAGATATGATATATGGTATTATTCGTAGTAGTAATAGCAGTAGCGGTATATGGGTTATTTTTATAGTTTCTGTCTTGGACCCCACAATACATACGCTATTTACTTGAATGTTCATTAGTAGTAGTACTCCATAATTTATAACAAGTCAGATATTTTTTGTAGTTTTATTTGACTTTTATTCATCAAAACCTTAACATATTTCATTTTATTTATTTATTTATTTATAGTACCATTTATAACAATAAAAAGTTTTGTATACTGCTTTATGTCATGGTATCTTGGAATGGTCTCAACGGTTGATTAAAACGGTTGATAATGTGACTACACACACTCTGGCTATTCATAATCAAGTACTCCTGGTGGCAATTTAAATGTATATCCTGTGGCAATTCAGAAGTGAACTGCCACAGGTTGTAATTATACCAAACCATGGTAAAATTACAAAATAAAAAGACAACAGAATTATTTCATTGGCCAACCATAACTACATATTCAGCTAAGCTATGTGACAAATATTACATGATAGAAAATATTTGCTGTCTCACCAGGTGACCATCCACAGGGATCCGCCCCTCTGCAAACTCTGCACCATTTTCAGGGTGGTTCTCCCCAGAACCTGGCTCATTGAACACAGAAACAGGAGGCAAGAGTGGAGACTTTTAGAGCAATAGTTTAACATATTTCAATTGCGACTCAGACAATTCTTATTAGGGATACCTGTCACCAGTGTGTATAAATATGAACTGTAATAATGTGGTATAATATTTTACACTTTTCAGTTTTTGTTTTATCTATTAATTATCAGAAAAGGCAAATTGGCTAAAGTAAATAAGTAAAAATGAAAAACTAGAAATTATAATAACTTTGAGTTATAATAACACCTGATATAGATGTAAGGCTTTCTTCATGGTGCTCGGTCTCCTCTGCCAAAGGCTTCAGGGTTTCAGCGACAGTCTCCTAAGACAAACAGACATACAGTGACAAAGGACAAAAACATACAGGCATTGCCATTTTCATATTAGACCTACACACAATCTACACTAATCTGAACATACTGTCTATCTTTTGATCTTTTTGAATAATAGTTAAATAAGAAAAAGAAAAGAAACAAAGGCCGTCTTATTACAGAAACCTACTTCATATTCAGGTCACCCAAAAGGAAATCAATTGGGACGAGGAGTTTTTTTTTTTAATATAATACATTTCCAATGAGGTCATTCACAGCAACTCAACATGTTCCTATGCTCTTTACAGAGTGGTGATACCTCAGGAGTGAGGATGGTCCAGCTGTTGTTAGCACTGCTGCCACCTGACATGGCCCCCTAGAGGCTTTGCCTTTCTCCTGCAACACAAGGGGAACATACAGAACAGCTTTCATGATTAATGCTAGCTGACTGAGAAGAAAATCAAAATAAAGTGATTGTCCTATACTCCTTTGTGTACCCTATGGCTGTGTGATTTTTAAAACAAGGTAAATCCTAAATTTTAAAAGGTGGGGGGGTGGGGATTTTGGTTTTCTTTACAATGCACTTACTGAAGCCAACAACCCAGAGGTGTATTGTTCAGAGGCCTGCCACTAGTCCACCATTAGGGTGACAGTACTGCAGCTCAAAGAATTGTACATCATTTGTTTACCCGTGAACATGATTTGGATACATGCCTTTGCAATTCAGCCTCACCCTTCCGCAAATAAAAGAACCTACTGTAACCGGTTGTTAACACATTGCTGTGTGTGTGTGTGTGTGTGTGTGTGTGTGTGTGTGTGTGTGTGTGTGTGTGTGTGTGTGTGTGTGTGCGCGCAGGAAGTCCAGTTCCCTGGGACCATTCAGTTCTTCATTAGTAGTTTGTGTGTGTTGTGGGCCTTTTGGTTACCCTTCGCTTTTGACTAGCTGGGAAATGTTTTGGCAGAGACACAGTAACTAAGGCCAGCACTATTCTGGAGATACAGACAGCAGGGCTGTCCATTTAAAAGCTACTGGTCTGTTAACATATATATGTCTACACGCCTCACCACATTTCAACTGTAAACTGTATACATATTCCTATGTGTACATTTCCAAAGAATTACACATTTTATGTTAAGATAAACATTTGGTGCAGCTGGTTTAATGTATCTGACCAATACAACTCTTTCCAGACCAAGATCACTCAAGCAGAAACACAGACTGACATTTCAGTTTGACCACCTGGTCAGATTGAAGTGTCAGGTATTACTGTTGTCTAAAGCCTTTCCTTTCAAACCCGCAGGGGATGACATTTCAGAGATGCATATTTATTATGTGTAATCTGGCTTTCTTCACAAAGAGCTAACCACTTAAGTTAACACCACATCTGGGTAATGACACACTTCACTCCTCAAATTCAATTCTCTCCCAGTTCCGCAATTTAGGTCTCCTAATCGAGTGCCTCCCAGGAGAAGTCTTCTGAATCTAGCCTAGGGCCCTAGGAGCATTGTGGAGCATAAATGGCTTAAATAGATACCAGCTAAATATAGCCACCACTAGATTGACTGGAGACAGAAAGAGGGAGCATGCACAGGATGGCCATGAGGAACACAACAGAGGCAGAAATGTACTCTAAGGACAGTGCTAAACTGGCTTTTCACAGAGGAAAGCATTTTCACTACATTGTAGTTTGATCTTACTCTCTAATTTTTATGAGTAATTTCTCATTTAACCTGTAAAGCTCAATCTCAGGGTTTCAAAATGTCTTAACGTTGTATACTCAGACGTCATATTTATAGATACTTGACACCGTCTCTGATCGCAGTTTATTAAAACCTTTCAAACTAACAATACACTGCCTTCAGTTTAGATTGACTGGCCCTTTAAATTTAATTTAGCACTAACGGCCACAGCCAAATGTATGTCTACAGCTGTAGGGTTAGGGTTAATCTTATTATCTTGTTCTCAGCAGGGAAAAATGACCAAAAAAGGTCAAGGGAATAAACTGCAGGACAGGCCATTAAGACAGCAATGTTAGGCTGTCAGCAAAAGCACCCCAACCAGCTTGTTCCCAGCAGTCCTAAACAAAGCACGCAGTTCATCACATTATTATGTAGCGAGTTATACAAACTGTTTTTACTGAACGAAGGTGAAGCCTGTGACAGGAAATGTCATATAGCGATGTGCTAAAAGAAAAATAAAACAGAGTTAAACACACAAATGTCACTTTTTAAGCGTATTTAAGGCCAGTTGAGTAAGGTAAATCGCAATAGGGCTCAAACAGCACGCAAATTAATACTAGCAATTAAAACAGAACTTTCCAACAGCTGCAACACTCAGTCGAGCAACCAGGAAAAAGTGAGTGAAACGACGCAGGCGACGCAACGGAAGAACAAACAAGGAACAGAACAGACCTTGAAAAAGTAAGTAAGTACATCCAAACTTAGGTAATTCTTACCGTGGCGTGGTACCGCTTTACTTCAAACGCCACAGTCTGTCACACATACAGCAGCTACTTCTGAGTCTCTCCATCCAACTTAAGAACTTGCCTCCTGAACTTGCGTGATCCACACGCCTCTCGTCCAATCACAGACAGTCTTCGTTTTGGTCCTGCCCCTCGCCCTCCAGCTCGACCAATGGCAATGCGGTGTCACTGTACTTCACTGGGAAAATTTCCAATTTGAGTGACAGACGCAGATGATAGTGAGTATGTACATCTTACATACGTTATGTTCGTACACCTCCAGTCCTGGGCATTTAATGCTGGTAGTCCACAGGCTTGGGTTGATTCCAAGTTGTTATCTTTGGTAGCACTATCCTTCTGTCCCATAAAAGACAGCATGTAAAATTTGCCCTATGTTTTTGTTCTACACATAAATCAGAATTTAGTCCTCTATAATGGCATGCTATCTTGCAAACTTTGTCATATCAAATAAATAAAAGGCTTAAAGGCACATAAAAACTTAGTTTGAAACCTAAACCAAACTATATTTTCTCTTTTTTTTAGCAGTACAGTATACAGTATGTTTACTATAAGATTAATCAAAACAAAATGAACAAAAAATGCAGACATAATGGTAATGTTTCTATTGATTAGTTCCTTTATTCATTGCACACCAGTTTGTGTTGTACAGTGAACATCAGGGGTGCCATTCCTCAAGATCTTAGATCAGAAGGGTAAAATCAGGAAAATCTGACCCAGTCTCATACTGAACAATGTGCACCTGGAAATGTGCCAGTGTGTTTCCTGGAACCCAAGAAAAGCATCCTATAGACACTGAAAAGATAAAAAAAAAAAACTTTAGGACTTAGTGAACCTATAATTGAAACAGCTATTTCCTGAAAATTGAGAACCTCGCTTTAAACTGTAGTAGACAACATAAACTGCATTATACATATCAATTTGACAGATTTTAGTTCACTATGTGCTCAAGTGGTAGTTTGTTGTCATATGAGATAAGAGTCATACTTGCCAATGCTTTGCCAGCACCACTGATGAAACACTCAAGTCCTGATGAAATAAAAGCTGGTTGAAATTACACTATAGGAGCCAATGGAGAAAAGGGGAAAATCAATGTTTGACCACTTGATCTACTCTCTCTCAGCCTGTCAGTCCAGGATCTCTTTGATGCACCAGCAGCAGAGGAGGAAGTAGAGGCACTCCTTAACGGACTGGATGACACCGTAGGCAAAGTTTCCTCCCAGGAAGTTCTTGCCTCGTCCCAGACCCATGGCCATGTCCCGCAGGTGCTGTCCCAGAGAAGAGGAGGGCATGGCCTGGGGAAGAGGACGCTGGGGATGCATGGCTCCGGCGAGGAAATCGAGAGATCAGGCAGAGGCAACAAGAAGGGCAGTCAATGAGAAGAAATAGAAGGCGAGGTCTGACAAATGGGATCAGACTGGGCCCGTGCAACAGTTGAGGTCTGCTCCGTGTTCCTGGCAGTTAGCTCCTGTACTTATAACCTCCTATACAAACTGCAGGCCACCTACATTCACATCATGCGTTTTCTCAACTGTTCCCTGCTTTCAAACATCCACTGATTGATTAAAGGCCTTGTTTACCTTAGCTGTGCACTGTTCCCCTCTGTTGTACAGTTCCCGCCACACAGACTCTCCCTAGGATCTAATAATCCCTGAATCAGCCCCCTACTGTTACAGGCTCATCTGTTCACAAACAGGAGAGTTCCAGTAGCTCCAATACACTCTCTCCCCCCCCTCCCACTACATCCCACTCTTTGTTCAGGACAGTATGTGACAGGCAATCATACCTTCTAGCAGTGTGTGCATTGTTGTTTCATTTTGCATCAAAGCTTTTTGGTGTACTTTGATAGAAAAATGAAAGGGAGCTTTAAAAGCCTATCCAACAAGGTACACTCTTAAGGGTGTATGAACAGTTATCATATCAAAAGCCAAACACAAAGAGAGATGAATGATATATGTATTTATATATGCAATCTATATTTTCAGATACAAGTGTAAACCGACATGTTTCCCTAAAAACAAAAAAAGTATTAAAACAGAAACATATAAAGTAAAAATCAATATCTGTTCACGCTATTTGAAAGTAACCTTTGGCTTTCAAAAACACAAAACTGCAACAGCATCATAAACACTATCACCACCACCACCAACAAACAAGACATTTTTTAAAAAGGATTTTCATGCAACAAAAGGCATCTGTGATGAATGATGACAACACGGGGCTCTCTGGTTCACTAATGATGCAGAGGGTTAGGTGGATCAGGACACACTCACACGCACAGTAATGGAAGAACTTAAAGCTCTGGTTTCCTATATCTGACCTACAAACACCTGAACAGGCAGCGTGTGAGTGTCTGACTGACCCAGCGGCCACTCTGATGTGTGTGTGTGTGAGTGTGTGTGCATGCTAGACTACATATGAGCCCATTTCAGGGTCTGAGTATTAGTTGACAGTTAAGGTTTAGGCTGAAAGATCCTTTCTCATATTTCGAGAGTTCAGCCTTAAGCTCAACCATAAGTTCAATTGGCTTTAAGAAGAGCTACCCCAGTGGTTGGTGTCTGGCTCTGCTTCTTATCAAATAAGTCTTTAAATACACAACTATGAAATCAATAATCAAATACTAAGCTGACCAGTCAAAAAATTGACGTTATTTACAGATGGTCAAGAACTCCCCCCCCCCCCAGTGGAGACATCAAGTATCTGTGACTATAAGCTGAATGCAAGAATGTGCATCACAGGAGATTGCCATCACTGGATCTGTTTGTGTGTGTTTAATGGAGTGTCATTTTTGCAAAGTCTTTGTTTAACTGAGAGGCGTGTGTATTCTCCTGTAGTCGACTACATTTGAATTAAGTACATAAGGTGACTGCATTGAAGTGACGTGACTGCATTGAAGAAACAAGGCACGATTAAAAAGACATATAAAAACAAACCTAACACCACCATGAACTAAGGGAGGAGGAAGAAGCGCCCCCCCGATCCTCAAATATTGGTGAAAACAGCACACTTAGGAGAAACATTTGGCTTAACATTTCATATTAGCATTAGAAATGCTCCAAAAAACATTTATGTCCTTATGTTCAGTTACCCCCGAACCACTTAATGTGATACAATTTGTTTTTCTTTTTTAAAAGGACATTATTCCCTCAAGTAATTAAAAATTAAAGCAACATAATACACAAAAATTAAAACAAATTAAAACAGAAAATACATAACCAGTTATGACATATTTTGCATTATTTTTGCAGAGGGAAATTCATTGCTCAGACTGTTCAACATTTCTCATTGGCCACCATTTAAAGTGGTTTTATTTAACTACTCTCCTTTGCTTTCAGTCAAAATACTCTGTAAAGATAGAACCCATAGATTGTCAATGCAGACACATACCAAGGAGTCAATAAAAAGCAACAGGTCAAAATAATCTGGTCTATGCTTCTCAAAATGGACAACTTATTGTGTTTGTAGGTGACATCAACGCACAATTTACTTTAAACATCTCCTTTTTGTATTCACCAAGATTCTTCTCCCCTCTGAAACAGGCCCATTTTAATATGCATCTCTATCCTTTACATTTAAGTTAGCTCCAGATGCTGTAAGCACACAAGACAGATAACTGTTGATAATATTCATGGCTTTCTCTGCCGTTAGCGACCAAGTTCATGTTCTTTGGCATGACAGGTGGTGCAGATCGCATACGGTGAAAGGTGTATTTGTGTGTGTGTACAGAGGAATTAGGGAGATACAGCTTTTTAGATCCTCCTAAACTCCAGTAAGAGTTCCAAGATAAAAGACAGAAATAAACAAAAAAAAGATCATATATCATGGTCATTGGCATAGCAGTCCCCAGTTTTGCATACAGGCTTTCCTCATCACCAGGTATCACTCCAGGGGTTAAAGTTCAAAACTCATTAAAAAGGGGAGTGCTTGGGGGGTAAGGTGGCCCTCCTGATTAGACTTGGAGCAAACTCATTTATGCATATTCACCAGGCAGTCAGGTTTGCTGCTGAAGTGCTCCAGTGACGAGAGAGTTTATGTTCGAGCCTGGTTCAGTCTCTGAAACAAATAACCACTGCCATCCAGTTTGTGTTTTGTCTAATATGCTCCAGCAGCGAGAGAAAAGAACACATGCTTAAAAGCACTAAAAATCCCATTCGATGTCCCATCACCGCTCTTTTCTTCACTTTTCAGTTCCACTTTTTTTTGTACACGATTCCATGTATTAGTAAAGTGTTCAGCTTTTGTTTGTTTTTTCGTTATCGCATAATAAGATTATTTTTTTCTTGCATTTATTTTCTCCCCTTTTCTGAAATTAGCAAAGGGCTCCTCCCTGGTTCACAGTAGGCTGTTGAAAAATTGCAGCAGTGCTTCTCCGTTGTGGAGGAATGAGAATGATGAGTGGTGGGATTGAGGACTGCAGGGTCACAGTTTGGATTTCAGAAAGGACAGGAAAATGTGGCAACAGCAGCAAGAGTGAACTGGTAATTTCTTTCTTTTTGGCTTTCTTTGCTATGATGTGTGCATGTTTGTGTATGTGTGTGTGTTACGTGTAGTGTTGATATGTGTGTATTATAGCATATGAAGGTGAGTTGAATTGCTGCAGGAGTGCGTATATTTGGTGGAGTATTATATTAGCGTGGAAGGTCAGGCCCTGCGCTCTACAGGCTGTTGCAGACACACTTCGCTACCAGCTGACACAATGGGGAGTCTGTTGTCCATGTGGTAACTGATCAGGTGACTCACGCTTTCAAACCGATGGTCTTTTGTACGGACCTAAAAGAAACAGAAAATTATTAAAGACACGTTTAAATACATACACACTAATATAACCATGTATTAAGAATACAGTATTTATAAAATGGCCCTTGCTCATTCGTGCTTCTCCCTCTCCTTTATAATCTTGCTCGCCATTATAATCTCCTTGCTCCTCCCACCATGACTCACCACTCCTTCTGGGTCGACTAGTAGCAGGTGTTTAGGCTGACCCCCCTGCTGTCCCGTGAGGACGTACTGTCCAGGCGTGGTCCCAGACTCTCGCACCAGGAAGTCTCCATCGCGGGTCAGCAGTCTCTCTGCTTCCCTGCGACTTAAGCTACCATGGAACCAGGACTCACACTGCAGCTGCTGCACAAGAGGGGGTGCTGTTGTCACTGAGCTTGGGCCACTGTGCCCAGACACCCCCAGGGCATCATCGAAGGGTTCTTGAGAAATAAATAAACATACACTTGAATCACTGTGTTTCTCTGCTGAAAACCTCAAATACATGCCTATATAGGGGAAAATATTCTGTCTTTTACTATTGTCTGAATTTCTATTTAGATCAAAAATGTTTGGACCTTGGACACATGGGGTCTGACAGCTGCATGTTACACACTGATAGTGGACTGTTTCTTTAATGTGAAAAGCTTTATGCAGTCAGCCAATCATGTTATCTAAAATACCCCTGTAATGGACAAAGGCACTCTAATTCCCTTATCTTCCTCCGAGACCGCCTCTGTGGGCAGTTCCACCCATTAGCCTGACATATGGACATTACACACAACTCTGCTCATCTCCTTAGTCAATAATTAACCCTTATTCTTTTTTCATGGCAAAACTATTTCACATGAGTTACCAGTAATTGTGTTCACATTGATTACAACCCTCACATCTTGTCATTAAAAGGAAATCATATTGATACCCTTTCCAGTTATTTAGTTTCCCGGCAAGCTAGTTAGTTATCTGCATTCCTTCAGTGCTTTTTTTGATAGCAGACCATTTTAGCTTGGTTTTTTGAAGCTAGTATGATATTCCCACCACAATGTAGCTAGACCAGGTAAAGGACTTACTCATGTCAAAAGCATCTCTGTGAGCATTTCCATTGGCTGCAACTGGGGGGCGTGGTTTATCCACATTGACGTATGAAGGGTCATCAAACAGTTCCCGTCCCCCTTCTTTAGCACCCACTAAAAGCAAAAACAGAAAAAGACCTCATTGACCCTGGCACATCCCATTTCTTCATCAGCCATGCACATTAGACAGCATTTTAACCAGCCAAGACTAAAAAACAACAACAAAGAGGGTGGAGAAAACTAAACTCTGTCCTAATTGTGCTTGGATAACAACCTCAGTCTTCCCCTTGTCCTGATTTACAGTGAATGACAGACAGATGCAGACAAATGTGCAGAGACAGAGCTCACCTGGTAGAGGCGGCAGAGGTTGCTTGTGAATGTCACTCTGACCTGGCTGTCCATAAGGCTGCAAACACAGAGGCATATCAGCAAATGATGACTCACAGCCACATGTGGACATACACAAATACATTTCTATTGAAAGGGTTGCAAAAGGTCAATGATTATTCATCTGCCACAAACCAAGTGATCTCAGCTGGATTACTGTTGCCTTTTAATTCTTTTGTTTCAGAAAGCGGCAATGTTGATACATATAAAGTATAGTTATTAGATTCCTTACGAGTCTGTCAACTCTTAACTGTAGTATGAGTCGTGCTTGGATGTGTTGAAGCATGTGTGTGAGTATCTCATCCGCCTGTTGTGTTTGTTATGTGCACTTTCTCACCAGCGTGGCACCTGGGCGGGTCCTCATGTCAATCAGTCCACCAGGAGGAGGCTGTTTTCCAGGGAAATGATTGTAGTAAGGGACGTCAGGAGGTGGAGCAGCCTCATCATCTTCTTCCTCCCATGCAGAGCCGTCGAACGGAGCCATTCTGGGAGAGAAAAGGGGTGACACAAAAGCAGATACAGAAACACAGTGTGGGTGACAGAATACAAACAAAAGCTCATATTTCAGGCTTATGCAAGTCCCTTTTTTTCACATTTACCTGTCATGAGGTGTGACCAGTTTGGGGGGGTTCTTAAGGTACTGTTTAAAACGTAGTTCAAAGGCCTGGCCGATGGTGCTGATGACTTCCTGGGCTAAACCCTCTGAACACTCCAAGATATGACAAGCTGAATGAAAGGAGAGGAGAGGAGATGACTAATAAGGAAGCTGCAGCAACATGTACTTGAATGAAATATACACTCGGCTAGACAAACATATTGACCTGCAGGCGAAGTTAAAAAAAAGTGGATTTGTGCATTTTCAACAGTACATTCATGTGCATGGCTATATGCCTTGCTGAAGGACAAATGGACAGACAGAGTGCACTCTAGCCATCCCTCAAATTGCAAAATTACACAGAGAACATAAATAATATTTAAAGTGGTGTTGAATGTTGGTAGAACTTTAGTGTAAATAATGTAAATAAATGTTCAGTATATGTTTTGCAGGTTTTTTTGTGCGAAACCGATGGTAGTGGTTATTTCCTCCATTTCACGGAAAATCAAGGCACACGTTCAAATGTTTAGCACATAAGCATTAATCAAGCAGATTCTGCCAAACAATTAAAACAATTCTCTGCCTATTTAGTGGTAAATGTACTGTTTCTTCCGTCACTCTGTAACTGGGTCTGTAATGTCTCAGCTCCAGTGGGTGGTATGTCAAACTCAAAGGGGAATAAGAAGTGAGAAAGCCATTTTATTTATTTAATAAGATTAATTTATATTTTATTATTACAGCTCATTTTATTTTTATTTACAGTATTTGCTTAGAGTGAAATCTCAAGAGTGAGACAACATTTCTGCTTGAATGACCAAAGGATCATGGTCAGAGTTCTACTCAAACCACATCTAAAAAAGTTCAGTGATGTTCCTGCTCACCTCTCTGGTTGACTGGGTCTTTGGCCACATATGCTACATACTCTGCCGTATCCTGAGGGAGACAAGGTAAGACAGTTAGGGGAGGATGGAGGGGGGGATAAATACCAGGAAAAAGTGAAGGACAGGTTTAGGATAGATAGGTTGAAGAGGAGAAGAAAGAGGTAAAGCAAACACTGCAGTTTTCAAGTCAGTTACAAGTTCAAAACATACATTGAACTGAAAGACAGGAAGTGATGAGATCAAGCTTGGAAGAGAAGGACTGCAAACCAGCGAGGCAGCTATGGAGTGAGTGGTATTCATAGGAATAGACAATGACAGAAGACAGGAAGGAAGGACATGCGGGCTGAAGAAAGGTGGAAAGATTTGAGCTGAGAGAGTGTTGGGTGACTCACTGGGTCTCCTCCAGAGGCAAAGGAGATGGACTGCATGTGATGATTGGCGATTATCTGTGGAGAAAAAGAAAGAAAGGAAGAGAGAGGGGGAAATATAGAGACAGAAGGAGAGCACGTGGGTGACATGAAGTATGTAGGAAGTGAGATGAAAGTATGTGGATGGTGAGACAAATGTGGAATCATTACTGATAAAAGTGCTTTTTCCTCCACTGAGTGCCATCAGCTGCAGCAGAGATAAAAAACTAAGTAGGGACAATGGATGGAACACCTTTTTAACAGTCTGCAACAACCACCCATGTTGGATCAATACCAACATCAACACTTGCTAATGCTCTGTGCACAATGTGTGGTTGTTATCCAAGGCTTTATTTGTGAATGGACACATGCGCACATCACAATTGTTTGTGCTTCGTGTTAATGTATATGCGCACTGCACTACTGTCACAATCTCGCCGAAGAAATTAACATTGTTTAGCAGCTATTAACGCATTAGAGGTCTAGGAGGAGGATCACATCCTGCCCCGTGGAGAAGCAGGAATGAAGATGACAGTTAACTGGGATTTGTGCAGCATCCAGAATAAGTGAGGCAAACAAAGTGGAGAAACTCTAAATTTATCTGGAAATCCCCCTGAATGCCCTGAAAGAGCATGGGAATAGTTTTAAAGCATGATCATAAAACTAACTTTGTGTAGATAATTAAGGTTTGTAGATATATTGATAATGAACAATTCAAATGCAGTTTACACGTTACACATCTTATAAATACTGCCGTTCTGTAGTTGATCTTTAAAAAGTAAGTCTGTATAATCCTTAAAAAGATATGAAATCCCTCAAGGAGAGAGATCCTCAGGTTCACTCTGCTTCAGAGTAAACTAAACAGGCAAAGGGCCAAACATACCATTGGCTACAACTGAACTCTTAACAATCAGATGCATCTCTGACTCAGTCATGTCTCTCGCTATCAAGGACAACTCTACCACACCCAATGTTTTTGAGAAAAATACACACAGCAGCGCATTGAAAATAAGCTGGTTTCAGTCTAACCTGTTTGCAGTCCGAGGCCAGTAGGTTGAGGCTGCTGGTCGAGATGGTCAGACTGATAGTCATGCCAGCAAACTGCAGGTTACTCTTCCCCAGGATGGACGACAGACAGCGAGAGGAAGGCTGCGAAGGAGAGGGATGTGGTGATGATAAACACACAAGGTGCACAAACAGAAAACAACAGTTTTTTATTTATTTTTTTACTTCAACAAGGCACGATGGTCCACTGAGTGCTCCCTGCATAAGCTTGTGGGTGTATGTGTGGAAATGCCTGTGTGTGTGGGAGTAGAAGAACAGCTGCAATTGTGAAAGTGATCCCGTCTCCAAGGCCAACTGTGACCAATAGGGAGTAGACAGGACAGTTCACATACTATAGGCTGGGCCAAGAGCATCGCGCGGACCACGCCAGCACTACTGTGCCAGCCCGTTTATCCCAATCCTACTGTTCTCATGGCTTTCATCCATATCTGATCCAGAATATTTTGGCGTACACTGTGAGAAAAAACAGCATCAGGACAGGATGCACATGGTCAACCACATTAACCTCACTCCAGCCAAATCAGAGGGACTAGACTACTTTCATCTATTCTAGTTTACATCCTAAAACTGTGTTTTGTCTTGTGTGCTGCACTGCCAGACATTCCTCGGTCAAAACCTGCTAAAGCAACAGGCGGCTAGATTTAGCCACCTGTTTTATGGACTGTTTGGGTGGATGTTTTTAGTTTTACAGGAATACAGCACACAGACACAAGTAGTCTTTAAAACAGCAGACTGGCAGATGTGTCTGCTAATCTGTAGTGCTTCTTTGGCCTGACACTGGCTCCACACAAGCTACAACTCCTCCTCTCCAGCATCCCTTGTGAGAAGAGGGAGGGAAAACAGAGACCAGAGAGTGATTGGTAATTACCTGCGTGTAGCCCGCTAACCACAGAAGTGTACAATCAGCCTAAATCAAAACTGTGTGTGTGTGTGTGTGTGTGTGTGTGTGTGTGTGTGTGTGTGTGAGTGAGTGAGAGAGAGAGAGAGAGAAAGAGTGTGAGTGTAAATAAGTGTGTGTGACTGAACAGCCAACTGACCACAGAGTGGACAATCAAGCAAAATCTGGCTCTTATCCAGAAAAACCCTTCCCACTGCCACCCACTTAAGCCATTTAAATAAATAATGTCCTGTAAGGGTGTGTGCTAGTGTGTGTGGTGTGTACCTTTCTCCTGCGCTGGGCTCCTTTGGCTCCGGGCACGGCCTCGCAAACCACAGAGATAGCCTCCCTGAAACATTAACAACATGCAAGTGGTGCAATAGCATGTTATTAACCCTCACACCTTCCCAGACTCACAATTAGAAAGATCTGGCCGTGGGTGATTGAATTTATCATGGCAAAGGGATGATAAATTCGTCTTTGCCGTGGAGACAAAGATCACTACGGAAACCAGAAGAAAACCACCAGGATTCCTGGACATTCTAATTTAGGGACTGGGAGAGCTGTATACACACACATGCACAAATGAGCAGACACTAACTCAGAAAGAAACAAGCAAGTGAGCAAAAAAGAGGGCGGAAGCGGGACAAAAAGCAAGCCAGCAGACTAAGACATTTAAGAGAGACGTGTGTGACTAAACACGGCCGACAAGTCTAACCACACTTTAACCATCTCGCCCCCACATGTACAAACAAGAAATGTAATGGCAAGCCAACAGCAGATGAACAGTGTGTAATCTCACCTGGTGACCTGAGTTCTGGTGTTGAAATCCAGCGCTCGCATTGACTGTAGCACCTCAACGCAACCCATGTACTGCCCGGGAAACAGGAAGGCAACACATTAGCATCGGACATTTCCTACATCGCAGTTCCATTGGACAGATGGAAAGCAACAGAGGAAGAAAGCAACGTTGTCCGTTCCTTATTTCTGTGGCAGTTTCTAAAAATATTAAAGAAGGGTGCGTGTGTGTGTACACCCCCCCCCCCTTCCTATTTCTTTGCACGTAATAAGTAATTTATATATATACATACATACATACATACATACATACATACATATACACACACACACACACATATATACATACACACACACGCAAAGAAACTGACTGGAGAGAGGTGTGTAATTATATATTTTAGCTTGGGGTTAGTGAGAGTGTGCCAGCTGCTTACCCGTACAGTATAGGAAACACCGCTGGTGCTGACCACACTGTCGGAGTGCAGCCAGCCACGGGTGGGCTTGTTGACAAAGGAGCCATGGCGCGTCCACTCATCTCCTCCCAGCTGCCCTCCTTCCACCCGTGCCCTCCTGGACGCCCCTCCCAGCCGGTTCATGTCCTGCAGAGGAGGTCGGGGAGGGGGAGAAGGAACGATTAGAGGGGGGAGTGGGTGATGAAGTGGGGTGGGGGAACTAGAGCTGCTCCTGTCGTCCCCAGAGGACTCAACAGGCGCCTGAGGATGCTGTGGCCTGCTTGAAGCTTTGAGTCCTGGGAGAAGAGTGGCAGAGACCCCCAGACGAAGGGATCCCATCCTGGGGAAGAAGGAGCAGAGGGTGGTGGGGCTGTTCTCAGCCGGGCGGGGAGAAGAGGGGGGCAAGATGGGAGTGAGAGACGAGGAGGAGAGAGAAGAAGGTAAACCAGGGGAGGGAGTGAGCGGGGTGGCAGGACTGGAAGATGATGGATTGGAGTTTGTTTCATCAGTTGAGCTCAGTGATTCGCTCCGAAAGTGGGTGTACTTGGTTTTTGGGACAAGCTCCATAATGAATCTGCAGTGTCAGTTTTTATATCCGCGCAAGTCCACACAGGCTCTAGTGATTCAAAGTCTCTCTGTCTCAGTATTCAAAGTTTCTCACTAAAGGGACACGCAGCCATCTGTCTGTCTCCCTCAGTGTAAGAGCTGCGTCCATCTGTCCGGTGGTCTGTCCTCCACTCATTACCAGACAGATGAAACCAAACCGCTTTAAAAACGGCTTCACCCACAACGAAAGCAGAATGAGAAGAGGCGCAGAAGAAGTTGGGTGTCCCAGTTAATGTTAGAATGCAGGTGAAAAAAGTTTGCTTTCAGTGCACCAGTGGAGATCATGTTGCCATCAGTTCACTTTTAACTATGCATCAATGTTCACTGTGTTCCCAGGGACTGATGATGACATGGTCTTTGCTCTCCACAAAGTGTTCATCTTGGTGTTTTTGCCATAATGTAAAACAATATCTGTGAGTATCTTGTCACAGCTTAATAGCCTCTCAGTGAGGGCCAGCTATCCAGCTGTCGCCAGCACCATGGAGAATCAACACAAGTCATTGTCTCTCAATGCCCCCTCGCATGTGTGTCTTACTGCACTGAAGGGTGCGCACTTGTATGTGATGTGTTTACATGTGTGTGAGACAGTGTAAGTCTTCTCTGCCCACAATGCTTCTAGATTATCTGTGTATGTGTGTTGGCATGCGCACATGTGTGAAGCAGCTCCCCTTGGCAGCTCTATCCTGTTTGACACGGGCCCATAAAAATCCTATTAGCAGCCGACGAGGGGATCGCAAGGGGGCTGCACACACTAACACGGCAGCAACACACACACCCACACACACACCTTCAATTGGTCGATACTACAGCGAGCACCTGCAGAGCTCAATGAAGCACAGAACTGCTAAAGAAGAGAGAGAAGGCTTACTGATGAATGGCTAGTATCCAACGCGGCACGCTTTCTTTAACACCTACTTTTCAAGTGCATCGTATTCTCAAATCTTTCCTCGCATTTCCTCTTTTACTCCCTCTCCCTTTTCCTCCAAATGGTTTCATGTCCTCTCTGAATGGCCCTCGCTCTCTCACTCCCTGCGTCTCCTTCTTCCTCTTCTCTCCTCTTCCAGATCACTTCTGGCACAGCCTTGTTCCCTTTCTCTGCACTCTTTCCTCCCTTCTCTCTGTCTCCTCTCTTCTCCTGGAAGCCCTCTCTCTTCCTCCACACGATGTAGTCTGCCAATCTCTGTCTCTCCAACGCCTCCGCCCTCTCCCGCTCCACCACTTCCTCTCTCCTCTTCCAGATGATCTCTCGCTCCCCCTCACCCCCTCCCTCGTCTGCTCGCCCGTTCTCCAGGCTGTCCTGTTTAACAGTCCCTCTGTCTAATATATTAATGGTGAGCCCTGTCTCTTCCTGTCTGTCTAACTTTAAGATTAGGGATGGCTAGAGGCTAGGCATGGTCACCTATTTAGACACCAGTAGAAAACAGAAAGAAAAGACTTTGTATTTAAGACTGGGCCAGCAGAGCTGGGCCCGTTCCTGACTAAAGTTCCTGATATGGCTAAAACAAGTGAGGCTGCCTTTGGTTCAAGTGTGTTACCTAAAAATGGCCACCTCGGTTAGGATGTTTTTTTTCTTCTGGAGCACCATTAGAGATTGGTAGTTTGATTCTGAGATGTTGTTTGTGTCTGGTACAGTGACACACACTGCAGTAGCACGGCGGTGATGTAACACTGGAGAATGTAGGTCATTGGCTGATGATGACTACTGGTGGGCTTGTTGTGATGGTAATGAGACCTGAATGGTCCTGTTTGAACTCCCAACCCAGGGTTCCCTGAATGGTGCCAGAGGCTGATCAGAGTTAAACGTGAACTCGAACCCCCAGCTTGAAATGCTCGATTAAAACCGCACTTTGTTGGTATGCTGACCTCTCTATGCACATCTCTTCTCACCCAGTTACTTTTTTACTGCCTGGTTCAAATAACAAGCCCAGATTATAGTCAGTTACCTGAGAGAAGAGCATTGACATGGCACCATATGATATGAACAAGCCAAGTGTTATGTTCTGGAACCACTACCTTCCTTATCTAAGGCAGGGCTTATCAAGCAGCAGGTTAGCTCTCAGTTATGCTCACTACTAACTACTGTGCAGACATCACATAACATCTCATATTCTGCATAGACCAACCTAGAAGGCAAACAACAGTCTGCTTACATTAACAGTCTCACACCGAGTCCCAAAGTGCCTCAAACAATCTGCAGCAGTTTGACTTCAGCTGGAGGCAAGGCTGCACCTACAGTCCTACAGCAAGCTGGCTGGCCTACAACTCAGTGCTATTGAGGCACTAGTCATATTTACAATGTGACCTTTACTCCCTCAAAAGGAGAGCAAGGTTTACACACACCTTGCCTTGACCACTTTCACAACGTTGTAAATTTAGCACCAACGTTTCAGTGATGCCAATGACGTGTCGAGTTTTCCACACACTAACATTGCAGAACTTAACTGTGTCAGAAGTAAAGCGGGCCAGCTTGTAGTGGGCGCTGGATGCATGGCAAAGGAACAGTCGCCTACACCAGTCTAGCACCACAGAAGGATTGTCTAACAATTCTAGCTAGTCATCCATCTGGTCTTGGCCAAAAAGCACCATGGAGGATCCAGTCACGCTTGTGCACTGCCAGAGAGGTTGGGATAATCTCCAGAAAGCTGTAAAGAAGTATGGCTGGAAAAGCCGCAAAAGACACCCGGTACTTGGACAATCAACAAGCACGCAGAACAAACGGAACAGTCCGTCACACCCCTAATAAAAACAGAAATTAGTCTTGGGAGGGAATTAGCACTTTAAAAAGGCAAAGGATCCAACATAAATGCACTTAGCACTAGAGAGGAAAACCAAGGTGCTCATACAAAGAGGTGCTGAAATGCTCTATGAGCAGTTAACCCTCATGCTGCCCGAGGATGTTTCAGTGCACAGAGCACAGTGTAGGTCAGGTGACTGCAGAGGAGACGACCCTCTACATGAGGATAAATCCTGAGTCACCTACAAACAGACAGTAAAATGAACAGACTGTCACAAACATAGCACACCAGTGTGATTAGTGGCCTCAAGGCCAAGCAGCTGCACAGTGATATATACAAGTGAAACCAGTATGATAATCAAATTTATCCAGTCATTCCTGATAATGGCACATCAGCTTGACTGATGAAATGGTAGTTGCAGTTGAAAAAGGAGAAAAGGACAAATAGGGCTGAGCCGACACACACCAACACAAACACAAACTGGGGGGTGAGGGGTGGGGGTGGGGGTGGGGGTGGCAGGTGACCTGAAACAACCCTGATTCTTGGAGACTGCAGAGCTCCACATAGACAAAGACTGTCTAGTAAAGAAAAAAAAAATCCTGTGTAAGAAACAAGTCTACAAACTGAAACTAATCAAGTCTTCTTCATCTTATCTACGAAATAAATACAATTACCTAATGGAACAGCACCAGTTTTAAAAAGATAAGACAAGAAAAGAGAACTTCACATCTTGTTCTGTCTGCAGCTGCCGCCCGTTGCTATGGCAACAGACATTAAAAGAGATGCCTGCGGAGGATATATACTAAGTCCCGACAACCGCAGCAATCTTCAGACAAAGAGATAACCGCTCGGTCAAATCACACGACAGCAATTAGTTGCTGCATCAGAGGCTCCACATTAGAGCTTCTTCTTCCAACAGGAGGAGAAACTACAGACTGCTAGAAAGATCAATAGGTAGGAAATTATGAAAGTTTGACCGGCGTCGCGCCAGCCATAAAACCCAATCAATGTTGACATCCCATGTCGGCTGCATGCACTGACTCCAACTAGGGCATGTAAAACTGAGTCTGGTATTATTTCAAAAGAACAATAATCACTTTCCTAATAACAGTAACAACAACAACAACTACACTAATAACTTACTGCTAAGACAACTGATGTTTAGAAAACTTGCATAAAAACAACCTGAATATTCTGGGCAGCAGCTAACAAAGATAATGATTGTATAACATCCTGCAGAGTAGATCCTATGCTCATAGAGAAAAGAAAATCAGAAGTCACAGAGAGAGCCTATATTTACAAGAACTCAAAATAAGTCTTTCAAATTGTTTTGTATAAAGTGAGTCTAATCAATATCCCTAAGAGTTCTTTTTTTTAAATGAATGTTATAAATAGTTCCTTTTTTGGTTTAAAAAACATACAGTTGACAATCCATGTTGATTAATTTAAAGCTGGGCTCCATATTCACATGAGAACCACATTAATGTTTAAACATCCACAGACTGTCCGGTCATTTGTCCTCTCCTTCCTCTTTCTGGCTCTCCGTCCGTCCACTCCCTGAAAAACGTGCTTCTCCTCTGATCCGCTCTTCCGCTCGATTAATTCACAAAGTCACTGCCGGCAGCTCCTCTCCATCTACCCTATCCTCTGTTTGGCTGCCTCCTCTTCTCTTCCCTCCTCTGCCTCTCTCTCTCTCTCTCAGCAGATGGTGAAATGGCAGTGCTGCCAGGATGGACAATGGCACTCCTTCATTGTGCTCCTCTTCTCCCCTCACGTCTGTCTCTCATTCCCACTTTCCTTCCACCTCTGTCTGTTAGAGGGACGATCACGCTGTCTGTCCTCCCCCCCTCTCAGTCTGGATGGGTGATGCTGCCTCAAATTTTCTCTCATTTCTCTCTCTCTCTCTCTCACTCTCATACATACACACACACAAACACACACACTCAGGGCTGCTGCCTCTGCCCTCCCCACCTCCTATCCTACCTCCTTCCTGTTTCCTCCCCTTCCCCCCACCTTCCTTCTGCAGCCTCAGTCATTTAGCAGTGCACATGTGTATGCAAAGCAAGATGCTGCACTCCTGCACATTAATGCACACACTCCAAAGGGAGATGGAAATGTGGAACAGAAAGGTGGGGGGGGGGGGGGGGGGGGGGGGGGGTTGTGTGTGCATATGAGGGGGGGGGGGGGGTTGTGTGTGCATATGAGGTTTGTCCATGCTGGCTATTCAAGGCTCCTCCCTTATTCATGTTTGGTAACCTGAGAAACAGAGTGAAAGAGGGAGATAAAGAGAGGGAGGGAGGATGGAGACAGACAGAGGGTTCACCCTCCCTCTATGGGCTGCACAGAGTGTAACATGAGGTCACGCTATATAACCTTGATGAAAGTGGACAAATGAAAAAAAAAGAAGAAAGAAACACACTAGCATTGACATAATAAATATTCCCCATGTTTACACCATGACTAGAGTTCTCTAGGAGAAAGGAGAGATTATTACCCGGCAAGCACAATCACAACTGAGAGATTCTGTAGAGGCAAACAGAAAGCAGAGACCCCACAGACTGAACCCGAAAATTCAAGCACATCTGATGAGAAGGCGGTAAGCATAGGAAACCACTCAGAGTGACACAGGGACCCAGCAGAGCGGAAAGCAAGGAGTCCTCAAATGACACCACAACATACAGTCCCTGCAGTTCTACGTTTGACCACTGCGCCATCATCATGTAGTCAAGCAGTGCACTCCGTGACGTGAAGGATCACAATCAGAGAATTGCAGAGAGATGGAGTGTCATTCAAGATAATATCCATCACCACACGGTGATGTGACTGGAAGTGATTTGTATGATAGTGATTCGTGAAGACAGCCCCCTCTACCCGTAGCCTGCACCATGCCTTTAACCAGTGAAACGCATGACACGCGGTGGCTTAGGGTTGACAGACAGATAATACTGTTTTCTTTAAGAACTTGGTATACTTTAATAAGTGAGTCACTTTTGTGCTATCCAGAATTTATATCAAAAAGACTCAGTCAGTTGAGTTTATTGGGTACATCCAACTAAAAGTAATGCAATCTAATACAACAATCTTGACATAATGCCTCTCAGTTCCAACAGTTCCAACACCAACTGAACATTATAACCTTCATGAAGGTAGGAGTTACTGCAGGACTATTGTATTAGACTGCATTCGTTTTGGATAGGTGTACCTAATAAACTGGCAACTCACCTAAAACCACAAAAAAATATACATACACAGGGCTGCACAATTACTCATGCATGATTACACACTGTGGCTTTAGATTCCAGTTTCACACGAAAGACAGGCAGAACACTGGCATACTAACTATACTGATTTATTTTAGACTGCTGCAGGGGAAAACCTTCAAATGATATAAGATGCAAAACATGCAGTAAAAAATCTTTGTGTTCTC